CAGACCGTAATGCATTTTGTAATATGACACTTGACACTGCCCACTAAGGGGGAGGAGACTGCCAAAAGATTTTAAAGTACCATTTCCACGGTAACGCAATGTCCGATTTCAAAATGGGTTTCACAGGATGAATCTTGGGCTTCTAAGCTTTCAAGTGATATATAATTCACGGTGACAGTTAAGGGGTTAAGTATAAGTACAGAAGTACTTGCTTTTAAAAGTACTTAAGTAAAAATCAGTCTTTACAACTTTTACTTGTAATGGAGTAATATTTGACCAGCAGTATCTGTACTTTCACTCAAGTAATGGAGTTGAGTACTTTGTCCGCCAATATATATATATATATATATATGTGTGTGTGTGTGTTACTACATTAATGATATGTTGATCATGCTAATATGTTAATTTCTATAGGTTTGATTGTACGAAATGTCCTCACTATTCAAAAATGTCCTATTATTGACTATAGTGAGGACATTTTGTACAATCAAACCTATACAAATGTTGAACACCAACTAGTGAGCCAGACCTCAGTTAAAAAGGCTTACAAATCGATAAAATCATGTTTATTATATTTAAATCTAGTGTTTTGCACTGGTTTCTGTGAGGGTTATGTTTAGAGCTGAGGTTGGGTTAGGTGCAGGGATTGAAATTAACTTTTTCACTCACCGGCCAATTTGGCTACTAAATTATTAAGTTACCGGCCATTCATAACTTCATGGCCAAAAAAAAAGACAGAAATAAACCTTCCCCAAGAAATAAATGAGTGAACATAATTTACGAAAAGTAACCGGCCAAATTGGCTAGTGATTTGACAGCGTTACCAACCACATCTGATTTTTACCCGCATTTAGCGGGTTGGCGGGTGTTAATTTCAAACCTTGGCTCTAGATATTAACTTATTGTTTATTGAACTGTTGTATAAAATAAATATCACATTTGTAACCATGCTGATTTTTAAAGAAAAATCGGCACTCTTCGTGTGATATTGATTAACTATATGAACTTATATAATTATACATTTTCTGACTCCTTATCTTGAAGTATGTGATCATTGTTAATGCATATTAATAGACTGAGTCATGCAACGAAAGAGCGCACTATAAAAGCGCACGCTGAACCTGCTCAGATTTGACCTGCATGAACTTCCCCAAGAAATAAATGAGTGAACATAATTTACGAAAAGTAACCGGCCAAATTGGCTAGTGATTTGACAGCGTTACCAACCACATCTGATTTTTACCCGCATTTAGCGGGTTGGCGGGTGTTAATTTCAAACCTTGGTTAGGTGATAAAAAAGTATAATTAATGTGATATAAAAAAATGGAAGATTATGAGATGTCCGCACTGAAATAGTCAAAAAAAAAAATTTGTATGTGCCTACTTTACCATATTTTGGGGACAAATTTGTGACCAGAAGTGAAATAAATCTGACAAAACATCCTTTTGAGGACGTCCTCCTTTGTAAACACAGTATAAAAATAAAATAAATAAAAAGGTTTTCTATTAGGGTAAGGTTATAGTGTTTATAATTAGCTGTATAAACAATACAATGTCTATGAAATGTCCTCATTTAGAGAGCTAAGTATCTGTGGGTAATGTTTCATCCTTTAAATGATCAATTGTACCTTTTTATTTGTATTTTTTTTGTGTGTGTCTCAAGACATATACTGGACATAAAACTGAAAAGTATTGTGTGTTTGCCAATTTTTCTGTGACTGGAGGAAAGGGAGATTCTGTTCCACTCTGTCAAAGTATTTGTTTTAATACATAGTTATATACTGTAGTTATTTAGACCAGTTTCTGAATAACCTGGATCTGTCTTGCTCTCATTCAGTGGATTGTCACAGGCTCTGAAGACAACATGGTATATATCTGGAACTTGCAGACCAAAGAAATTGTGCAGAAATTACAGGGGCACACAGGTATATGACATTTGCTACACCTCCCAGACTCAAACACATGGCAGCCTCTTTGATTTTGTTAACATAAATGTGATGTATTTTTGTTTTTAGATGTAGTGATCTCGACAGCTTGTCACTCTACAGAGAACATCATTGCCTCTGCAGCCCTGGAGAACAAGACCATCAAACTGTGGAAAAGTGATGGTTAAATTAAAGCACTGCACTTTCAGAGGCTTTAGTAGAAAACTTCAGACTGACGACTTCCAATAGTGTCCGTCTTTTACCATGATAGCACCTAGTGCAGGGTTATTATCTACTAGATGGGCAGGTCCTGTCTGCTCAGAATAGTGACAATCTCACTCATCTTTAAGCCTGTTCTCCCCTTAATATACTGTAATAATCTACTACTTTGATTTATTACTGAGGAGCAATTGTTTTATATTAAATCATAAATTCTATTGTTTTATTGATCTGGTTGGGTGAAGATGGCTGACATATCAAAAATGGATATATAAATGTTTTTGTCAAGCAAGAGAATTTTCAGGTCCCTTGATGAAATTTGTTTGTCATCAGATTTTTTGCTTTTTGTTTAAAGGGGTCATATGATGTGATTTAAATTTTTCCTTTCTCTTTGGAGTGTTACAAGCTCTTGGTGCATAAAGAAAATCTGTAAAGTTGCAAAGATTAAAGTCTCAAATCCAAAGAGATATTCTTTATAAAAGTTAAGAGTCAGCCACACCTACCTAAAACGGCTCGTTCTAGCACGCCCCCACATATCTACGTCACGATGTGGAAAGAGCTGCATAACGCCGCCCAAATGTTCACAAAAGAAAGAAGGCGTAACTTTTATTCTCGCTGTAGTATTGTTGTTGCTGCCGCCATGTCGAGACGCTATGTGTTTCGTTGTGAAAGCGAAACTACTTTGGTTGGCCTTCCAAAAAAGGACGATATCCACTTCATCATGCCTAGAGCTGATCCGTGCTGGTCGCTGAGGAAATACATCAACTTCGCGCTGTGGATCACCGGATCGGCTTTCACCGTGGACGAAGCGGAGTCCAGCCCGGGGTCGCCACATGTGGTTGCTGCAAGCCCACCGCACGCTCCTTCGTCGAATCCGCCGGCTGCGCTGTTCTCAAGCCCGCCTGCCTCTGCAGGGTTTTAATGTTTTTGTCTCGTCGCTCCAGCCGGACAGGGCATCAACAGTATGGTAAGGGACATAACATTTCTGTCACACACTTGAGGTATTCGGCCAATCACAACGCACTGATAGCTGGCCAATCACACCTCGCTTTTCAGACTGATGAGCTTTATAAAAATCGACACGTTTCAGAAAGGCGGGGCATAGAGGAGAAACAATAATGTAGAGTATGTGGAAAATAATGTGTTTTTTGAACCTTAAACTGCATAAACACATTTCATTACACCAAATACACAAAATAATGTTCTTTTTAGCAACATCATATGACCCCTTTAAGCATTTTGCAATCATTGATATTGATATGTGAATTTATAATATCCTTTGGATCCTTAAATTGTTTCTAACATTATTTTCCACTATTTAAGCTTTGAATTTGAAGGCATCAATTTGTCTTCCGTTTTATTTTCATGGTTTTGGGTTTGAACCATTGGAGCAGTAGGTAAATTTCCATGATTTTTTTTTCAATATGAAACTGTTAATCCTATTTAATGTTTTGGTTTATACACACAGACACACACACACACACACACACATGCACACATATATATACATATACGTGTGTGTGATATCTTATATATCATTTATTCATAACTATCAAATTGTTTTGATGTTTGCTAAAGACAACAACAACAATTTTTTTTTTTTTTTTACAATCTGAAATTTAATAGTCCTTTGAACAGACATAATAGGATAATACACAATACACCCTCCATTTGTCTTGTAAAAAAAGAATGAGTGAGCCGTCCTCAGCTCTCAGGTGAGGGTACCATGAAAACAAATGGCAGAGGAACAGAGAAGCCTTTGCAATGTAAACCTTTCGCTCAGTCCAGGTTTGAGGGCACGGCTCCACTTAAAAATGAATATTTACACCAACAATGTGTACAATATAGAACAGACGAAATAATGATATAGAGAATAAAAATTACACTTTGTACAAAAATAGATAATTATCTTAAAATGCATCTCTTTTGTGTTTTGTTGATATGTCCTGTGAAGGATTGGTGCCTCACAGGAAAATATTACAGATGTCTGATAGTGGCACATCAGGATTGTAGCTGATATCAGGTAAGATGTGCCTGGCTCTTGATGGTCTAACAAACCCTGTTTGACTAGTCCAACACAGTGCAAACCCAAGAGCGCTTTACATTGTCTGTGTTTTGTCTATACCTCAGCAAGGGGTCTTGTATGCACATTCTAAATATGCTGGTTTTGGAGTAATGAAAGGCCAAAGATGTCCAATGTCAGAACAAACAAATGTCTACTGATCTTCCCTGATGGCCGATTCAAATTTCTCCCTGGTCAAAGCATAAAAACATGACCACTAGAACTTCAGTTTCTGTATAACAATCACATTGACAGTAAATGCTGTTTATGTGCATATTAGACTGAATACTTATGTTGCTGTGAGGCCTGGAATTATCTTTTGGCAGAATGTTTTGTCTAAATCAGTAGGTCTTTTGCACTATGTCTGCTATTGACAACTGCTTCTGCTACACATACCTCCCGAATTCAAATAATAGTTATTAAAAGAAATTGTCATCATGACAACACTGGTTCAGATTGGCTCAATCTGCAATTGAGGTGTGATGCGGTAATACAAATGTTATGAAATCTATCATTATTACAGTTTCTTCCTTATGACACAGATAAGACTGCACAACAGAACCAAAAATTGCATTTGTATCAACCTGAGGCTTAGAAATGTTATTTTGCAATGTTTGCCAAGCATTACAACTCTTAAACTGTAACAACTTCATGTAATAGCAGATGAGTACAGCTGCAATGTAACAACTTTTCCAATAGGGGACAGGCATGGCACTTCCCAAACCTTGCGATTCCCTGATGCCAGACTATCATCTGGATTCCTTTTACTTCTTGCATATTTTCAAATCACAAACACCCACTTGCCGGGAATTATCAGATGATATATATATAACATTATTGAAAATCTTTGGAAATACTTAATACATATTTACGCTGAATTTTAGATGCAAAGCATCATGAAAAATCTTCAGTATTTTTTACACAATTCTAACAATGAATCATTGTATTTTCATACAGCGTGAGTTCAGCCAGGAGTACACCTGCTTTTCATTCTTTTTAGACCATTCTGTTATTCATAGGCCCATTTATCTTCCAAAAAGAAAAGGAATTAAAGCCAAACTGCATGCAGTTTCTTCCTCATGAAGATGGACTTTCAGAATCCTGATGTATTACAATACCGCTTAAAAGAAGCAATTTCTAAGTGCCTGGGGGGGAAAATGTTACTGTGGTTCTGTTAACTACACAGTTTGAGCAAAAACTTCCAATGGCAGATACAGTGATGTGCTTTTTGAGGACAGCTGCATGCAGAAGTGCATCCGAGGTATTTTGTTCCCTCTCATGAAATCTGAATATTCACAGCAAAATGATTGTGAGTTCAGAGATGAAGCGGTTTGGCTCTGTACTCAAAAGAAAGCAGAGGTAGACCTCTGTAAGGCAGAAGAAATGAGAAACCAAAATCTCCATGAGACTTCCCAAACATGCATGCAAACCAGGAAAAAAACTCACTAAATCCATCCTGCGTGGTATTCCGTAATGGACCATTACACAGTATTTTGTGGATTGCACAATGTTTCTGATGAAACGCCAAGGTAGAATTACTCGGTCCTCTCCTGTGAGATCAGAGATGTGTCCTGTGGCCTCCTGTAGTGTTTTGTACATGAGTTGTACCCTCTGTCAGAGGGGCGGAGATGAAAAGAAATTATTCCCTTATGTCATTTGGTGTGGCGCTTCCAGCATTTCCATTAGGAAAGTGTCGATGGGCGTGTCTCCGATTAACTTGAAAAAGAAGAGATGTTCAAGACATTTCAGACCGATGGAGCGCAGGGCAGGCAGACGCAGTAACAGCTTGGCAAATCTGTCCGTGAAACAGTGGATGTCAATGTTTGGATGAGCACAGTGTAATACTTCAGCTGTTTTCTTATTTTAATTTTTTTTAATAGCATACCATTGAAAAAGTTTGGGGTCAGTAAGGTTTTTTTTTTTTTTTTTTTTGAAAAATTAATACTTTATTCAGCAAGGATGCATGAAATTGATCAAAAGTGACAGTAAACATTTATAATGTTACAGAATATTTCTGTTTCAAATAAAAAAACGTTCTTTTGAACTTTCTGCTAACAAAGGAATTTGTAAAAAGGTATCAAAGTTTCCATAAAATATTTTTTTGAGCCGCAAATTCACATATAAGAATGATTTCTGAAGAATCATGTAACACTGAAGACTGACGGCTGCTGAAAATTAAGCTTTGCAATACAAGAATAAATTATATTTTAAAATATGTTCAGTTATCTTAAATTGTAATAATATATCACAGTATTACTGTTTTCTCTGTATTTAGATAAAATAAATGCAGCTTTAATGAGCACTTTTTTTCAAAAAACAAACACTTCTGAACGGTAGTGTACAAGAGATTAAATAAAAAATGTATTTAAGTAAAATTGACTTTATATGTAAGAAAATGGATCGCAAATGTTGCTGACTTTAAATGAAAGTGAAAAATAGCTCATGTTCACTCTGAATCCAGTCCCTCTGTTAAATCGCTGTAGCATTCTTTTTGTTTTGTGCCATTACTTTCATTTTTATATACAAGCGAAAAAATGAAGCATACATAAATGTGAGAGATGTGTGTGTGTGTGTACCTCCCAGGCTGATCGGGGTATTTGTGTTTACAGTAGGCCTCTAGAGATGCATACACTCTTTCCCTTAAAGCCTCCACCTCTGATGGATTAGACAGTCCTTTTGAATCTAAGAGTTAACAAAAACCACAATTTATTGTGAACTACTCAAGATAAAGTGGTATTTACACACTCAGCTTTATGAATATGTTTCATAAGTATCTGTAGGTAAATCCTTATATACACACTTGGTCTGATACACAGCAACAATTACCAAAACAAACAAACAAACAAGGTAATGTTAAGGTGTCATTTTGGGCCACTTTATTTGATGCTACACTACAGTTCAAAAGTTTGGGGTCAGTAAAATGTAGATATATCATAAGAACCCTGAAAATCATATCATTGTTAATCATGGTTTACTGTTTTCAACATTAATATATTAAGAATTGTTTCTTGAGCACAAATTCAGCATAGACCATTTACAATATTACAGCCTTTAATGCATACTTGGTGAGCATAAAAGACTTTTCAAAAGCATTAATAAATCGACCCCCAAACCTTTGAACAGTAGTGTGCATTTGTGTGCTGTGTAAACATGTCTTGTGGTTGATGGGTTTTGCTAGTTTAATCAATAACTTCAAGGCTGAATCAATAACTTTAGGCTGTAGATAAAGCTATTTCAGAAATCCAAAATAAAGTGCATCGCTATCTAAGAATGTTCTTCACATACTGTACATCTAAAGAGAGGATGCTGGCCATACTATATTTGTCCACAGCATTGGATATTTATTTTATTTTAACTTTCTAGACTCATTATTTGACTCAACTATTTTTATTGTTTGGGGATGAACATAGAGGTCACCTGACAACAATGTTGTCACAACGTTGCATTACTTACTTTTTTATTTTTAGAAAAGTATGCAGTACCCAGTATATACTGCTTTCTATAAGCTTAGCTATATTAAGGTTTATAATCACAGGAATCTCATTTAGTCTTTCTGGCTTTATTCCAACACATTTTCTTTAGGAATTTGCCAAAACAAATAGCAAGGTAGGTTGATCAAACTGAAGTGGTATTTTAAACATACTTGTATAAGAGTGCTGTGTGCACATGTGTTTGTCTAAATATACATTACTGTACCTGGATTGAACAGAACAATGGCCCGCAAGCATCCAAGTTCAGTCTTGTCCATTTGCATGTCTCTCATCTTTGACACAAGCTCTGTCAGCACTCTGTAAAAAAAGGGACACAAATCTTTACGCTCACAGGCAGCACAGCCAGTCTGATTAATCGCAAATTCATTTACTCCAATGTACCCTTAAAAATGCTGGGAAATGTTCTGTAACTTATTAAACAGGCCCAGTGAATCATCACTCCACCTTATATATTTAGTTTTCATATCGCCATGAAAATCAAAGTCATTATGTCTTATAAGACACATTCATTTCTACTGCAGATGGACCGGGCAGCATATATTTCATTAGTGAGGACACCAGCATATCTCACGCTGCCAGTGAAACATTATCACAGCGCTACATAAAACTGCCATACGGCTTAATGTACAAATGTCATCAATCAAAAGTAAGACGTGGAGGGCACTTTCATGATGCAGCGTCTAACATCAATATAGAGGTTATTTTCAAAAATTAATGTGTGCATGACCTACGGCTGTCACAAATCTTCCACAGGGTGTGCCATGAGGACCCTGAAGGGTCTCTTAGAAGATCACAAGACCATATGCATAAACTGAATGGTGTCATTGAATTTAAAGGGATAGTTCACCCAAAATGAAAATTTGGTCATCATTTACTCACCCTCATGTCATTCCGAACCTATAAGACTTTTTACTTTTCCATGGAACACAAAAGGAGATGATTAGGAGAATGTTGTGGCTTCTCTTTTTCCATATTATTAAAGTGAATGGGGACTGGAGTTATCAAACTCCAAAAATGACAAAGAAGTAAAAGTGTCATAGAATTTGTTAATAACACTCATACGCTATAATTCGCGTCTTATGAAGTCCTATGATAGTTTTTTGTGTGGAAAAGGCAGAAAGTTACATTCAGTCTAATGGCACCATATTTGATTTGAGATTTTCAGTGATTATAGGCTTACATTTTGGACTGTCCCTCACACAAAACTATCATACGGCTTCAGATGATCTGGAATATAGAGTGCAACAACGCACACTTTTTCAAAGGTTCTTTTCCCATAAATTTTTCCCATATGGATTTTTAAAAAGTCTTTGTTAAAGAGTTAGAAGGCACGAACCAAACCAGCCAGCTAAGAGGTAAATCACAACATAACAAACGTTGATTCAAAGAAAAAACTAGGGATGCACCTATCGGTATCGGGCCCGATACTGGTCTCCTGTACTCGTACTCGTTAAAATGCCCCGATACCAACGCAGATACCACACAGCATGTGATAAGCACCATATTAAAACAAAGAAACACTGACAACAGAACAACAGACAGCAGAAAGGAGTTAAGGATGTCTACTACGAAGTATATGTATCCATTTATAGGGGCATTCACTATAAACATCTTTTATTTTCAACCTTTCTGGCGAAAGTGAAACTAACAGCCTATGTGAAATGCGCTAGGCTGTACTGTACTTGTCCCTCTCATTCTGCACCAGTACAAATATGTGCACGCGTTGCGCGTGTTTTGCTTGCTTGAGTGAGGTTTGCATGAACCTGGTTGACAGCATGCCCAGGAGACTACAGGCTGTCATTAAGGCTAAGGGTTGCCCGACAAAGTATTCATAGTTGTGTAAATAATACTGTCATACTAACAGTTGTCTGAATTATTTTTGGTTGATTGTAATCTATTACATTCCTTTCTATCAAAATTATCTAACATTATCAAGATGAATTTGTTCTGACACAGTTGAACTCTGAGTTCTTGTCATATTTTATTACCATTTTCTAAACAATAGCGAATAAACTGTGATAATGTGAGAAATGTTGAAGGTGTCTGAATAAATTTTGGTTTGAATATCTATTTGATAAATTAAGTTAACCAACTAACATTATACATACTCTTTTGGTTTCTGTACCCAATATTTAAAAAATGTACAAATGCAATAAAAATATCGGTATCGGTACTCGGTATTGGCAAGTACCAAAAATAAAAGTATCAGTATCGGGCGAGTACTGGAAAAAGTGGTATCCCTAGAAAAAACTTTTTGAAAAGCTGACAAAAGAACAAAGGTACAAGACTGTGTATTTAATGGCTTTAATGTGGGAAAGAAATACAATCCCATGAAGCATTGAGAATGACGTTCAAATTAAAAAAGGCAGATACATATAAAACTTTTGTTTCAAAAACTGTGTATAAAAATATTTCATGTTTATTGCAAAATATGCATAGGAAGATTGACTCTAATATGTAATTTGCAGTGCTTCATGAAGGAGGGCAGCTGCTAAAGAGCTCGTTGGCACGATTAGCTTGTTTCAGTTTTCTGATTGCTGGATTTCTCTACAAAATCATGGGAAATGTATAGTTTTACAATGGGAATTCTGCTGTTAAACACGATTATTTAAAAGATATTTTGAAATAAAACCAGCTAATGGCTTCAAGAAAAGCATATGTTATCAATTAACAATCTCATAGCTCACATACAGTCTGTCTTTAACAGTTTATAAGTTATCGTTAAAAATCAGTTCGCCTAGGAAGAAAATGAATGGGATTTTTACTTCAGATTTTTACTTAGGCGCATAAGCCATATACTTTTTTTTTCTTTGTCATTTGTAACATTGACAGTCCCTCTGCCCATTTACTCTCATTATAGTAAAAAGAACAGCCAAGACATTCTTCAGAAATTGTACAGGCTTTTTCTCTGAAACCCTGGACGTTTACTAACCTGTCAAAGATGGCTCCAACACCGGCAGTATGTGCGCTGTTTCTGTGGACGTGAAGGCCTGTTGCTAATAATATCCCATCTTTCACAGCTATGGAACGATGCGAAAAAGAGGCGATCAGGAGTTCATTCCACCCTAGCAACAGAGGACAGGAGCACAAAAGCACAATAATAACCAAACAAACAAAGATAACAGGAAAGAGAGCAACACAGCTATTTCTATTTCTATGTGGTGGCCTTGTCTGTTGTACGTGTTTACTCTTATAGCTCAATATCAACTTAAAGGGTTAGTTCACCCAAAAATGAAAATTCTGTCATTAATTACTCACCCTCATGTTGTTCTAAACCTGTAAGACCTCCGTTCATCTTCGGAACACAAATTAAGATAATTTTGATTAATTCTGAGAGCTCTCTGACCCTTCCATAGACAGCAATGTAATTACCAAGATCAAGGTCCAGAAACGTAGCAAGGAGATTGGTAAAATAATCCATGTGACATCAGGGGTTCAACCGTAATATTACGAAGCTACAAGAATACGTTTTGTTTGCAAACAGCGTATGCTATTCTGTGTCAGCTGCATCACGTGGATACGTTATTTTCATTCAAATCAAAGCGTAAACAACGTATAAAAAGTATCCGCGTGACGCAGCTGACACAGAATAGCATAAGCTGTTTACGTTCAGTGGATACTCTCCAAAATGGCACCAGGGTGACGTGGAGGAGACAAATTGCTGAATAAAGTCGTTATTTTTGTTTTCTTTGCGTACAAAAAGTATTCTCGTAGCTTCGTAAAATTACGGTTGAACCCATGATGTCACATGGATTATTTTACCGATCTCCTTGCTACGTTTCTGGACCTTGATCGTGGTAATTACACTGCTGTCTATGGGAGGGTCAGAGAGCTCTCAGAATTCATCAAAAATACCTTAATTTTTGTTCCGAAGATGAACGGAGGTCTTACGGGTTTAGAACGACATGAGGGTGAGTAATTAATGACAGAATTTTCCTTTTTGGGTAAACTATCCCTTTAAGTTGCATGTTCTTAAACGATATTGAGTTTTAATGAGGACATTCTACGTTTTTTAATACATTGTCAGAGTTTCACACAGTTCGATCCCATTTCTGAGGCTCTGAATAAAACACACTAAATAGAGTTTTACTGTCCTCAGGCAACCTACAGCCCAATGAAATAAATGCAACATGTGAGCGGCGAGAACAATCCAGCCTCTTATTCTCCCTCTGTCTATATTGAAGCCATCATCCTTAACAGAATAAGGACTCTCACTCCAAGATGAGATGGAATTCCTTCTTTAATCGATGCTGTGGCCCGAGGCTGGATCAAATGTATCTCTGAATCAAAACAAAATGCTTCTGGAATAGACTGTAATGTCACATAACTGTAAACATACTCAATTCATTAGCTGATGCTGTTTTCAGATGTAACTCCATAGCTGGAAGACTAAATATACAGCACACAGGTCATGTCAGGTCAATGTCTGCAGGACTCAAACAAAAGCGGTTTACGTTTATTTACTAACGCACCTGCTCGCAGGAGGATGACTTGATCGTCCAGTGGGAGATCAGAAAAGTGAGGTATCTGCTTGGCCCACTCCACTAAGGTAAAGAGCTGCTTGTCAGCTGCTTGGCAGATGTTTGTTACAGGGTCATTAGGCTGGATAGAGAGAAAGAGAGAGAGAGAGAGAGAGAGAGAAAGGTGAACTCTATGGCAGTATAGCTTACTTGGATACACACAGAAAGAAAAAAACACAAATGAGTTCTCTTTTGTCAGAGAGTAATCTTGTAGCTTCAGAAAGGATCTTGGCAATGTCTCAAAGGGCCAAGATACCAGCATATGCAGGAAAAACTCATTTTCAAAACATTTCTCATCAAATTAGACTAAATGATGCTATCCATATTAATTTCATTCATAGCTCTATACATGCATCTTCATTTCTATTTAAATTTCTCCTTTGAAATTTTAGGAGAAACTTCTTAGACAAAGGTGATACTTAATGTTTTACTGTACACAATATTCGAAATAAATTAAAAGTAATTGTTTGTAATTTAATAATTAGTAATGGATTGAGTCTTATCTCTCAAATATGTCCTTCAAGATATCTTGGAGAGGTGAGGTGTCCAAGTCACAACATCTAACTACTGGGGTACCTCAGGGCTCAGTTCTTGGACCACTTCTCTTCTCTGTCTACCTGGCATCACTAAGTTCTGTCATTCGGAAACATGGCTTTTCATATCACTGCTATGCTGATGGCGCTCAACTCTACCTCTCATTCCATCCTGATGATCCGACGATAGCTGATCGCATCTCAGCTTGTCCAACAGACATTTCTTTCTGGATGGAGGACCATCACCTTCAACTCAACCTTGCCAAGACAGAACTGCTTGTGGTTCCATCAAACCCCTCGTTTCATCACAATTTCACCATCCAGTTAGGCACATCAACCATAACTCCTTCAAAAAACAGCCAGAAACCTTGGAGTGATCAGCTGACTTTCTCAGACCACATTGCTAAAGTTGCCTGGTTCTGCAGATTTGCTTTATTCAACATCAAGAAGATCAGGCCCTTTCTTTCGGAACATGCTTCACAACACCTTGTTCAAGCTCTTGTTCTGTCCAGGCTGGACTATTGCAATGCTCTCTTGGCAGGTCTTCCAGCCAGTTCTATCAAACCTTTACAATTAATCCAGAACGCGGCAGCAAGATTCATTTTTAACGAGCCGAAAAGAATGCATGTCACACCTCTGTTTATCAATTTGCACTGGCTACCATAGGTGCTCGCATAAAATTCAAGGCATTAATGTTTGCCTACAAAACCACCACTGGCTCTGCACCCCTTTACCTAAATTCATTACTTCAGACTTATGTGCCCTATAGAAGCTTGCATTCTGCAAGTGAATGTCACTTTATTGTGCCATTCCAAAGAGGCACAAAATCACTTTCATGGACTTTTAAATTAAATGTTCCCTCCTGGTGTAATGACCTGCCCAACTCAATCCGAGCAACCACCTTCAAGAATCGGCTAAAAACACATCTCTTCCATCTTTATTTGACCCTCTAACTCTAGCACTGTCTATTCTAATTCTATTCTTTATATAAAAAAATTAATAAAAAACTTGCCCCTTTTAGACTTGCACTCTATTTACTAGCTGCTTGTTTTCTTTAAAAAAAATAAAACTAACACTTGCTTCTCTAATAATTTTGTATTCTATCTATTTGTTTTCTTTTTATTTATTATACAATTAACAAAAGCAAATAAAGAGACAAAAGGCCTCTAACACTAGCTTGCTCTATTCTTTTTCTATTCTATCTGTTTTCTTTTTATTTATTATATGATTAAAAAATGCTATGTGTACTGCATTAAGCTAACTGAGACTTGTTATAGCACTTGCATATCATTGCTCTTTTGCTGATTGCTTCCACTGTCCTCATTTGTAAGTCACTTTGGATAAAAGTGTCTGCTAAATGTCTAAATGTAATGTAAATGTAATTTTCAGTCAAATGTAACAACTTGTGTGGATGGGCAAGATATTGTATGGGTTAACACTATATTGGCATTTATATACTACTGTTCAAAAGTTTGGGATCAGAAAGGTGTTTTTTTCTTTTTTATTTAATTAATACTTTCATTCTACAAGGATGCATTAAATTGACTTTGACACAACTTTGACATCACAGGAACAAAATTCATATAAAAAGTTATTTTGAATTGTAACAATATTTCACAATATTAATTTTTTTTTTACTGTTTTTTAATCAAATAAATGCAGCCTTGATTATCATAAGAGACTTATTTAAAAAAACCTTTAAAAAAATCTTAACCACAGACTTTTGAAAATAGTGTATTTCTACATAAATATATGCTTTTGGACATATAAAACGTTTAATGAGAGCACAATAACAGACAGTGCTGGAATAAGGACAAAATGTATTTGCAAACTCTGGTTTTGAGTTGTATTATTGATTTCACTGTGTGACATGTTACTTTATGTTATTTGCATTCAGCATAGATATCACCAAGAGAAACTCAGCTGTCAAACTCAATGATGTGAATGGAAAATGAACAGATATCTTGTGGGAAGTCTTGTGGAAATCATTCCTGTCATTTGCCCCCAGTGGAATATTTTTATTTTCAGTTTAACTCCTGCTCTCTAAAAGCCTTTCCTTCTGCTCAAGTAATCCAAACTCTCCAGCCCAGACTCAATCAGAACAAGCACTCATGAACCAGCAGCCTGGCATGTCAGAGCACTCTGTGCGTGTTCTGCTGTTGTCATGGAGCAAATTCTGTCCCAGTAGGATCCCGAAATCACATCATCATCATCCACCCAGAGTGAAAGGCTCTTTCGTTTTAGTGGTAACATACCCTTGTGAAAAAGTAGACTTTATCACTCTTTTGCAAAGAGCATGTATAACAGAAATAATATATTTCAAAACAATATAATTAAGTGTGAAACGCATGTAATGCTTTTGGACACTTAAGTGCTTGCTAATTGCAATTAAATGAACATTTATTATAGTTCAAATTTATATTAAATTTCATCATCATCCACCCAGAGTGAAAGGCTCTTTCGTTTTAGTGGTAACATACCCTTGTGAAAAAGTAGACTTTATCACTCTTTTGCAAAGAGCATGTATAACAGAAATAATATATTTCAAAACAATATAATTAAGTGTGAAACGCATGTAATGCTTTTTGGACACTTAAGTGCTTGCTAATTGCAATTAAATGAACATTTATTATAGTTCAAATTTATATTAAATGCAATCGCTGAAATTTTGAGCGCTTTTTTGACTCACTTAGGAAGGAGTTACATCTACATGTAATTTCAAAATTACTTATTGTGGTAACACTTTAGAATACTGTTCCATCATTAATGAATAACTACACAAGAACACATATGTAACACAATATTAGCACTCTAGTAACTAAAAAGTAAGTAATAGTGCTTAACATAATGTGGTATTTCACTATTAGTTAATCAGGAACTGCTTTTTTTCCATACCTCCCCAAGAACCACTAAGAACTACTGTAAACTGGTTCATAATTAAAATGAATAGAATAATGCATAATATATAATCAATTCTAAAGTGAAGGTTATGGTAACCCACTAGTGAGTCAAGTATTACCAAATTCTTCAGAAGGAATTACTTATTATTTGGATCAGTATTCTAAAGTGAATAACATGATAACTCTATAGTAATTACTGAAATCATTGTAAGCTTTTGAGGTTTTTTAAGATTCTGGATAGTAATTCCTTTTGCTAGATTTGGTAACACTTGAGTCATTACAAGTGGTTTACCGAGATCTTCACTTTGGAATACTGATCCAAATCATTAGTAATTCCTTTAGAAGGATGTAGTAACACTTGAGTCATTACTATCAAAGACCTTACTCAAAAGTTATCATGCTTTTCACTTTAGAATACTGATCCAAATAATTAGTAGTTCCTTTAGAAGGATTTGGTAATACTTGAGTCATTACTAGTGGGTTACCATGATCTTCACTTTAGAATTAATTATACATTATGCATAATTCACATTAATTATGAACCTTTATAGTAGCTCTTAGTAGTTCTCCGGGATATATGAAAAAAAAAAGTAGTTACTGATTAGCTAATAGTGAACTACCAATTTCAACTGAGCACTATTACTTACTAAATTATTAATCAGTTTCTTGTTAGTTAATAATAGTTACTAGAATGTTATTAGTGCATTAGTTATTTGTTCCTGTGTAGTTATTCATTAACAACAGAACAGTATTTTAAAGTGTTACCCTTGTTGTCTTTGAAATTAATAATTATTAAGTACATCTAAAATATACTAACCTAACATTCTTCAAAATATCTTTATTTGTGTTCAGCAGAAGGAAGAAAGTCATACAGGTTTGGAATGACACGAGAGTGAGTAAATGATGACAGATTTGGTATTTTTGAGTGAACTATCCCTTTAAGCACACTTTTTAAAAATCAAGTGTATCTACTGAAATATCATAACAATCTGGCTTAAAAGTCTCATAATCTACACAGCTTTCAGTTCAGATCATCATGTCTTAACAGTTTTCCAATCAACCCAAGAGGAACTCAAATTCATTAGAGTCCTATTTATGTGAGAGGACCTTCCCCAGGGCTCAAGGACAAACACACAAACAGCCATTAAAAAACAACTTTGGGGGAAACAAACAATCTGAAAATACAAAGTAGGGAAGACAAAGCATATGTCTCTTTCTCCCTGACCTCTACCTGATTTAGAGCTTACAGCTGCACAAAACAGAGGACAAATAAGCACAAGGCATAAATATACACACAGCACTAGCCTCCGTGTATCTAACTGACATGGTTAATGGCTAAAGCTCTTATCTAGTGACATGACAATGTGCTTCTTCTGCAGTATGTGTCCTCTCGAGGGGTCTGTATGAAGGCCTTCAATGCCAAAGCGCATCGCTATGTAGCCGAATCCATCCGCTGGGAGTGGGCTCGTAAAAATAGCCCTTCTTATTCACAAACAGAAATACTTGAATCTGCATCAGACTCTTTCTTGGACAGCTGCGAAACTCTTAAAACTGTCTTTTTGTATATCTGCAGGCAGGTTGGAACCTTTCTTTAGTCTTGACATTCAGAAAATGATCAAGCCCGGCCCGTTCACTGAGGAGCAATTGTGAAGTGTAACTTTGAAACGGCACATTTCAGATGAGCCAAATGTTCTCCATAAGTTGAATGTCACTGAGTGTGAATTAGAGGGAGAGATTGGCTTACAGAATTGGCAGGCACACTCAGGTTGGCCTCCACGTAGGTCTCCGTCTTTGGTTCCACTGCCAGTTCGGCTTCCAGAATCTTCTCCACGGGCATGTCTTCGTTGGCACAGCTGCCGAACTCACCCTCACTCTGCTCCTTCGCCCGCTGCCGCTCCTCCTGAACGGCTGCACACATGCAGGAACAAAATTAGAACGGCTCGCATGTGTGACATGTACAGTTACATGCACAAACAAAACCGTGACCTTGTGCTCAACACACAGCTGCTTTTGGTTTGCTCTTAATCTACACGATTCCACAAAAACAGCTGAGGCTGTTTTTCATCGAGCTGCATATGCATCCAGACCATTATTCACCAACTTCAGAGGGCTGAAAGTTGAGGAGGTCAGCCTACGTTTTGTAGCGACGTTAGTAGTAATATGCATTCGGCTCTTTAAAATATGTATATTTTATTTGGTTATGATCCAGTGCAAACACGATTCTGTGCTTCTATCCAGTCTATGGACAAAGTTATGGGCCATAAAACCGTCCCTCGGTCAAATGATTGGTTATGCAGGTTGACAATGTATTGGTGTGTGTGTGTGTACATGAATTTGCGCAAGTTGTGTACAGAGCATAGACTGTATGCATTTTTGGAGCCAGGTCTAAACCACACAGTCGGTCTACTATGGTCTGGACCTGGTGGAAATGAGCCCTGTTTGCCTCGCCGTCAGGCTGTGGAACATTTCAGCTTTCCCTTCTGTCTGTAAAAGCCCTGTTTTATGACTCTCTTTCTGTTCGACAGAAACCGCTAGCAGATCATGAGGGGAATTCTTGAGTGGGAGCCGTGGAGGTCAGCTGAAGGATAAAGCTTTACTCCAGGAGTCACTGAGAGGTGAGGAGAGAGGCACAAGGAAATTATTTTAGCTTTATTGTCCTCAGAAACAGAAAGACAGAGAGAGTGACTCGTGGGGGAGAAGTGTGTCAGGTTACCTCTCTCTCAGAGGTCTCAGTATAGAGGGTCCAGCTTTGTGCTATAGACCACTTTAATAGCTTGAAAAATAGACCTAACATAATTATATCAGGTTTATTCTTCATGACTTTTTCTACTCTTTTGAGAACAGATTATAAACTAAATTGATAGGATGATGTGTCTCCATGAAAAATGTCACAATAATGCAACTTATGTCAGATACTGTATAAAACAATGAATAAATGCAAACAATTTCCACATGCTAAACTTGTTTTACTGGTGTACACTGTAATGGTAAACAGCTGCTGGTTGTTTACTCTGATTTCTTTTATTAGACTTTTATACAATGTGTTTTTTTGCAGCGCCCTGGACAGAAACAATATTACTAGAATGAATATTAGCCATATTTCTGAAATGTGCATGCCCACTTTGTGGTTAAACGAAAGAATAAAGCTTCAATATTTTCTGGCTACTGGGTTTTAACTGGGTCAGAAGAACATACTAAAAGTGTTTGAAGGGACAGTTATTACTATTTTCACACATGCATTATTGACACAAAATTTCTTGTTGTGTTGTGTTCCTCATAGGGTGACCATACATGCTCCTTTTTGCCTTAAATATCCAGGTTTTGGCTTTGTTTGCGCTGCGCAGACCGATCGGTGTATGACATCAAAGTACTGTGAGAGCTATAGAGAGCAGACGGCTTGATCCTACCTTCTTACGCGCCATGATTATTCGATTAAGTACAATGCCTGCATGCTATTGGTCAAACTACTTTTTGACCATTACCTTCAGCAAGTATGAAAACAGGAAAACAATGCCAAAACCTGGATATTTTTTACGGAATATAGAAATCCTGGCCAGTACGTGTCCGGGAAAAAGAGCACGTATTGTCACCCTACACTCTAAAAAATTTACACTAAACTTCAAAACAACCCAACCGCTGGGTCAAAACAACCCAATAGCTGGGCTTGTCCCTTTTTAACCCAGCGCTGGGTTATATTTAATCCAGCATTTTTTAGAGTGTAATTCCACATTTGTATGCTTTGCTTTGTCTGCTAAATAATTAAATGTAAACGTCATCATTTCATCATATTTAGTAACATTTAGTGACATTTGCATAATTAATAAATACATAGATTCTAATTTCTATTAATTACAAATAAAAAAATAAATAGTTTACATGCTTCCCAGCTACTGGAATATTCTCATATGTAATATTCTGAATATATTCTCAATCAATTAAGACATGGACATTCCTTTCCCAGTATTCTCTGGTGGAAATAGTGAAATGGAATTTAATGAAATTACTTTTAGATGATTCTAGACTTAAAATGTGTAATTTAATCAACACATTAATCAGTCTCTTTCATTTTCTTGACAACAGCACACAGGAGTGCAATGAACTGCAAATGGTAGGTCTTTAGCGCTTTCAACCATCTGTACTGTGAATTGATTCATGTTTATTTCTTTTAAAGTCTTTCAAAAGATTCTGTTGCCTCCAAAAATGTGTTACTTTTCAAAACTGCCTGTGTCTCATAGCATTCACGATTATTTTCATTTGGACATAAGCAGATAAAAATGAACATTAGATATTCAGAATAAGATGATTTCAAGAAACTGGAATACTTGCTCTATTTGGTTATTCCGGTCAGGTTAAGGTCAGTTTATGACCAATCCATAATCAGAATAAGACCAAATTCTGATATTATTTGGAAGTGTCATGTGCATGTAAATGTGCTCAATCACTAAAAGAAAAAAGCAACGCACCTTCTCTCTTCATTCCCATGGCTAAGCACTTCTGATAACGGCAGTACTGGCAGCGGTTGCGTTGGCGTTTGTCAATTAAACAGTCCTTGTTGTCTCGGCAAGTGTACGTCAAATCCTTTCTCACCGTTCTCTTGAAGAAGCCCTTACAGCCCTCACAGCTGTACACCCCATAGTGTTTACCTGCCAGCAAACACATGCTTTAGTATTCCTCCCAGCAGGGTTATCTTTAATTGGCATTTAATATCAATAATTCACATCTGTTTTTGTCACACACTACTCTGAAAGACAGAATATATAGACCAATTTCATGACAGCAGTTTAACAAGTACAATAAAGTATATTATTAAACAGCTCTCTGGAATACTTGATTCTGATTGGTCAGTTTGAGCATTCCGTGGTTATACAATGTTGCATAATGTCTATTAAACTGTATATGTTGTTCCTGGCATCTAACCATGCTAGTTTCTTATATAAGTCAGTGCATGGGTCTTTCTTCTCAAAATAATAAATACTATTTTCAATCAAATTAATATTTTGTGTGCATTTGATATTCATTTGTAAGTAGATGGTAAATATCATAAATATTTCTTATTATTTATTTATATACATTTAATATAAATGTGCTGCTTATAGGTTAATGTGATAATTTAGCTATTTTGTTCTGTAGTAACGGACACAAATTACGTAATGTATTATAATTTTTTTTTTTAATCATCTAGGTATGTGTGTTCAAATCCCTACATTCATGCACTCCAGGATCAGTAATCATGAACCATCCCTAAAAATACACACAAAAAAAGCTACCAGCCAGATAAAACATGAAAAATTTACACAAATAAAAAGTACAGCACGGTTCTAACAACACCAAGGTTATGGGGTTGATTGCCAAGAACTGCATGAATATACAGATTGGATCATAAGTTTGGATAAAAGCATCTGTCAAATGTGTAAATGTAGGAATTGTGTGCCACACAATTATTATGTTTAAATTGAGGTGAAACCAGTGGAACTCCTCACATGGTGGCTACGGCAAAATAAGATAGAACCAATAAACAAAGTAGAGCAAAAAACATGAGACAAAAACTACAAAAACAAAACAAGAAGTAAACAAAACAAAACAAATTCTTAGCTTGTAAATGATTTAGTAAGATTTTTTTTTTCTCAGTGAACTGAACGTCACAGAAAAGATTGCATGAAAAATAGCAGCTTTGACATTTTTATAATAACTCCCTTTTGTGTTATGTGAAAAATGTGGGCATGATGCTTTTGGTAGAAATAATTAGGTAGCAAGATTTTCCATACAAGACATGCCAAATCAGGCTGGGAAAATACACTCTCTTATAGTCCTGTGGAAAGAGTGAATGACATTTTCATAACCATGAGAACCATCTATGATGTCCAAATGAAAATAAGCATGTCCAGAGAGTGGGGAAGGACATAATAAACAGGGAGAAAATAAGTTTTATTGCATCTTGCACTGTAGAGCCCACAGGAGCTGTTACAAGGCAGATCACATGTGATCATCTCATGCCTGCTGCTTTGAGTGTAGAGCTTTTAGAATAGTTAAATCTGTCCTTGAATTGGTGTTGCTGCATTGCACAGTCATGAGATGCTCTGCACATCAGTCTCTGACATAAACATCCTTAAAATATCATCTGTGCTCTGAATTATGCAACAAACCTTTCTCTGATGAATTATTATTTCTTAAGTAATTATGGGGGATTTAACACAAATGCCTTGGAGGTGACATAAAAAAAACTGTAATACAACTTTGTTTATCATATTTATATTTTAGGTAGGATTTTAAGCAAAAGATTTTACATTTCTCTAAGAAAATGTGTGTGAAAATGTGAGCCTTTTTTTTGTTGAAACCTTGAACCTTAAGTATGAAATTCATACTTTTACTCAGCAAGGATGCACTGAATTGACCCAAAATGTAAGTAAAGAAATGTGTCATGTTACAAAATAATTCTATTTCAAATAAATGCAGTTCCTTTGAACTTTCTACTCTTTTTAATTCTGACAAAATCCTGTATCGGTTTAAACCAAAATAATAAGCAGCACAATTGTTTTCAACACTGATAATTAGGGCTGCTCGATTATGGCAAAAATCATAATCACGGTCATTATTTTGGTCAATATTGTAATCACGGTTATTTAACACGATTATGAAGGGGCCATATGACCAAAACATTATATGAGTGATTTATTTAAAGATAGTGATAACATAGCAAATATATATTTCCTGTAAATAAGGTTGCTATGACGTCTACATTGTAGAGACCAGCGGAATTTCAAACAAACAAACAAACAAAAAGTCCTCAAAATTATTGAAAATTATTAAACTGTCAGTAATAAAAAAGCAAAGGACAAATACAATAGAATAAAAAGATACAAATGAAACAAACTGTGCTTTATTGTTTTTTTTATGCAAGTCTCAAGCAGTTTACAGCCTACTACAGAAATGAATAATCAAATGTAAAATAAAACAGCATAGTCTTCACTGTTAGAATTAAAAATTTTTATTTCTTATTAAAGCTACAAAAGTCCTTCACGCAAGAGCAGTGTGTGATTTTGAATTTGTCTTTTGTTGTTTGATTAGGCTAATATACAGGTGCATCTCAATAAATTAGAATGTTGTGGAAAAGTTCATTTATTTCAGTAATTCAACTCAAATTGTGAATTTTTTTTATCGGTCTTATGAAGCATTCTAATTTGTTGAGATAGTGAATTGGTGGGTTTTTGTTAAATGTGAGCCAAAATCATCACAATTGAAAGAACCAAAGACTTAAACTACTTCAGTCTGTGTGCATTGCATTTATTTAATACACGAGTTTCACAATTTGAGTTGAATTACTGAAATAAATGAACTTTTCCACGACATTCTAATTTATTGAGATGCACCTGTAAAGCAGAGTCGCAGCAGGAAAATAGCCCGCTGTCACTTTAAGAGCCGCACGGATCCAATTTACCGTTACACGCGTATTTTCATTCTCAACTCTTTAGGTTCATTTATTACATGACCGACGAAGGTATACATGAATAATCACTCAGTGTCGCATTGTGACACATTTTTTGCGTGTATTTGACCGTTTAGGCGCGCACCTTGAGCTAAAAGATGACTTTACATGTCCGTGTTCTGCTCCGTCTCTGAGCGCATATACCTTCCTGAGGAGCAGCGCAAGTTCTCTTTCACGCTTTTAAAAACACGAATAAATATACTTCTATAAATCAAGCACGTCCCATTTGGCAAAAGTCACGTTACATGAGTTTTCTGATTTGCACGTGAACTTGGGCTAGCGCTGGAAAAGGGGGCGGAATGGGCCGCAATAATGGTTTTATCTCGATTATTGTATTTTCATAATCGTTGGAGGTCGAAATCGAAACTTTTTTTCGATTATTTGCACAGCCCTACTGATAATAATAAGAAACGTTGCTTGAGCAGCAAATACGAATATTAGAAGGATTTCTGAAGGATCATGTGACACTGAAGACTGGAGTAATGATGCTGAAAACTCAGCTTTGCCATCACAGAAATAAATTACATTTTGAAATATATATTACATTATAGTTATTTTAAACTGTAATAATATTTCACAATATTACTGTTTAACTAATATATTTGATCAAATAAATGCAGCCTTGCACTGTGAACATATGAGACATTTAATAAATCTTACTGAGCACAAACATTTGTTTTAAAATATTAAAATAGAAAGTTGATGCTTAAAAAAAATAGTATCAAATAAATTCAGCATTGCCACTGGTGAAAATGAGGATCTAAAAATTTTTTTTCAATCGTACTGATCCCAAACTTTTGAACAGTAGTGTACATGGACAAAAGTAGAGGCTAACTGGTCATTTGTGTGTCTGTCTGTGTGTATGAGGAGAAAGAACTGGCTGCGTGTTAAAAGAGTTTCATTCTGACACACACCACATGGCTAAGCTGCAGATTTTAACAAGCCAGCTCATTTCCCGTGCGATTGGGCCCTGACCAGGCCCCAACCGGGCCTCTTCTGAACCCATTTAGCATGTCAATAAAAAGCAGAAAGCCCATGTGGCACACTAAGGCCGTGTTTGACACCATGCGGTCAGAGATCAAGCACTCTGACGGGGCTAATGAGGATGAATGGGGGCCAGGGCACCTCCAAGACGCCTCTCCTTAAGCCCATACGCCATTACTTAAGGCAACACCATTAATGCGAAACTCACCCCTATCCATTTAGAAGCCAAATTAAAGCTGTCTGACATGAGACCTAGGTGGTGGAAAGAAAAAAATTAAGTCCACTGTGTTTATGCCAACCCAAACTTATTTTTAATGGGAACTTGTTTCCATTTCGGGGTACAACAGTAATGACTGAACACTTTATACTGGTAGTGGGAGGGAGGTGATATGAGGAAAAAAGAAATTCAGACAAAAACCCTTCACAATAACGTGTTCATAATGAATGTAGCGTGTGGTTTATCTTAAACTGTATTGCAGGGATTTTAGTTCTCATTTACCATCTGGTGTCTGATAAAACCCCACGGTCTTCAAATTAATTTACAAAAGGTTGTTTTTTGATATGACTTGAGTTACACTAAATGGTTTTTACTGATTCTCAAATGACTCTGGCAGGCTCTCAGCGATTTCACTGTGCCAAAGTTTGACTCAAATCCATCTTGCTTATCTCTACAGATTTAAAGTTATACGTTAATGGTTAAATTTGTAATTCAAACACACTCATACCAAGTGTTTCCAAGAATCCAGTGCATTTGATCAATCGATTATATTATCGTTGCTTTAAAACATGCCATGATGTTCCTCACTTTACACTGCCACAATATTGTCATCAAATGACAACTGGCTCAGTGGTAGAGCATTGCGTTAGCAGCGCAAAGGTCGTGGATTCAATTCCCAGGGAACACACATACTGATAACAAATATGTAGCCTGAATGCGCTGTAAGTTGCTTTGGATAAAAGCATCTGCTAAATGCATAAATTTAATTTAACCTAAAAGATAATCAACAAAAAATATGTTGTGATGACATATTCTAACAAAACATCTGTTTCGTTGACTTTCTGTTGTATTTTTTTCTTAAATAATTTCTTTCCTACAATCACTTACTTTTAATGATATGTTTCATGCTTAAAATGAGATTTAACTGAAAACTGCTTTAGTTACTGAGAGCTTGTGAAGATTTGTAATACAACCACCAGGGTTGGTGGTAAAATATTAAAAAGTCAGGAGTTTTAAGCAAATGCATAGTTTTATTTAATGTTGCTTATATTGAATATATTATATGTGTCACTGATTTACTCTTCTGCGTGAAAATGAAAATTCTCATGATTCAATGTCATTTTATTTTAGGGTTCACAATATATACCCTTGACAACACCAATCAATACACCAACTCATAAAGTGAACATTTAAATGTAATCATCTTTATGCGCATATTCTTACTAAAATCCAGCATCAAGTTAATTCTAAACTAGTAAGAAATAACACAGATGTAGCTATTTGTCACAAAGAACAAGATCAGAAAGAGTTCCACCTGCATTCACTCTAATAATTGTTCATTTTATACTGAAGCGTACACAATAAATAACACGTTATACTCTAAATACTTGCGCACAAGTTCCTACTTTAAGTGTTTATCTTTTTATTTATAATCTATGTACCCTAGAAAAGTTAAAAATAAATAATAAAAACAAACAAACAAAAACCTTGAGCCATATATACTTAAATATAAAAGATTAAACCAAGCTAGTTTCCTATAAACCAAACTAATACAAGAGTGGAATTACATCACTTGGAATATTTCTAATGTAATATTTCTTGTATGATGTCTCATAAAACCTAGCTCATATTGAGAGGAATTTAACAGAAATCCAATAACACCACAACATTTTACAAGTAGCTGCATTTTCCACCAACGAAACGCTGCTTCAGCAGAGTCTTTTAAGCTATGTGTTATTAAATAAAACCCAGTCATAAAGCCGATAGCACTGATGCTGAATTGATTCGATTTTCTGTGAATAAGCAGAAGCCTCAGCATGCGAAAAAAAGCTCATTTGAGGTGATTTTTCAAAACACCACTAAACTCTGATTGCTAAAATTAATGAGGTTAACACTGTGCGTGCATGTGCCTGCCATATGGAAAATGCAATGAAACTATTTATGCATTTCGAAAGACCTCGAATGTCCAAACTTTATAATTACTAGCATTTTTCACAGCTGAGAAATTTTTAGCAGAGCTTTTTGAGCTCTGAGTTATGCAGACAGCCTTCACCACTGTTTCCAAATCAGTTACATTTGCTATGAACAAGCTGATAATCATGTCTCATTGTAACAGCAAAAGCCCATTAAAAGCAATTTTTCAAATCCATACTAAATGGTCTTACTGATTAAATAATGAAGGTAATGATTCGAATAAATGTTTGTGTCCCTCTGTGTGATTTTGTGCATCATGTACTCATGCAATCAAACCCATTTGAGCAATCAGACTCTTTCAAATAGATCTTTAATTTCCAACAGAGTTCAGGTCAAGTTTAGCCAATTCAGCAGGAAAATTCAGTTCAAGTTCAGCCTGAGCACACATTGAAAAAAATATTGATTAGCTGCAAGCCTCTGAAAGAATCTGCAATAGCACTCAGTGCTGCTGCCCACAGCAATTCATGCTGAAGTTGTTAAATAAGTCCACAGTAAATGCAGTGCTGTCTTACCTGTGGGCTCAGGCTGGGTCTGAAGGTCATGCTGGTGGAGGACGGGCCGCTCATGGAAGGATGGCCCATGGGCGTGCTGATGACGGGGAACGGCGAGGGCAGGCCGTTGATGGGCGAGCTGAGGGTGCTGATGGGCGAGCGCAGCTGACCCGGGCTGGAGCTCATGGCGGACTGGCCGAGCAGGGGCGGGTGGAGAGGATGGTTACTGATGCCTCGGTGACCCGTGGAGGAGCTCAGAGGAGACAACGAGAGCTGACCGGAGAAGTCTGCAGGACGGCGAAAGAGGAAAAAAGAGTCAACCCACATAGGAAATTTCAGGAATATTTTGCTTTGTGAGGTAAACAATGGCACTGTGTTTTTGTTCAGTGTTTTTAAAGAGCCGCTGAATAGATGAATAATGTGTGAACATAATGAACAAATACCTGTTCATTTTAAAAGCTCTTATCATGAATGGCCAAATTTTCCTTAAACTTTTGAAATAAAGGAGTACATTGTAAACATTTCTTCCACTCTAGTTCAAAAAGACCACATATTGAAACTAAACTGCAAAAATGGTTTGTTCTTAAACTGTGTAGCAAGAAAAACGGTTTAATTTAAGACAAATAACATATTTAAATGATATTATATTAAACTATATTATAAAATAATTAATTTAGAAAATAATATAATAAAGCAGTATACCAATTTAATTGAATCATATTACAGTAATTTTCAATGCAGAATAAGTATGTCATGGAAATAAATGATGAAACATTATATTATACTGATAATATTATACTGCATTGTATATTACCTTTCAAAATGGTATTAAACTGATCAAAGGTGACAGTAAAAGCTTTTACATTGTTACAAAACAGTTCGTTTAAACGTTCTATTCATCACAAAAAAAGTCTCAAGGATTCCACAAAAATATTAAGCAGCACAATGGTTTTCAACATTGATAATAATAATAATAAATGCTTCTTTAGTCACAGAATATTAGAAGGATTTCTGAAGGATCATGTGACATAGAAGACTGGAGTAATGACTGCTGAAAATTCAGCTTTGGCATCACAGGAATAAATTACATTTTAAAATATATGAAAATAAAAAACTATTATTTTAAATTGTAATATTATTACACACTTTTACTGTATTTTGATCAAATGAATGTAGCCTTGGTGAGCATAAGAGACTTCTTTCAAAAACAATAATTATTACAAAGTACTGTAGTATGAAGTATAATCATGTGTGAGGACTCACACAATTACTCTTTATGCTCTTTGTACATCTTTGTGTGTGTGTGTGTGTGTGTGTGTGTGTTTGCTCTTCCATATGTACATATATATATATATAGTACAGTCAGTTGTTTTGTTGACACTGTCTGCTCTGATAACACAGTCGACTTCAGCCATGACTTGCCTTCTTTTACAGAGACAGTAAACACATGCTGAGAAAACACAGAGGGCTTAATTACTCATCCTTGTTTCCCCCCCACAGCTACAAGACCTTGAGTGAAAACAATATCAATCGTCCTATACATGCAGCAACACATTTCAGGAAAAGGTCAATGTTCAAGTGTCATAGCAAATATTGTATTGAAACATCAGCTTCACATCGGCTTATTTTCTCACTCTTTCTATTGTGAAACTTTCTGAAGGCCATTAGTCACTCAGTATGTTTCTCTGAAAAAAAAAAAAATCTGTAATATGATTTTTATGTCATTAAAAAGCATGATTATTTTCTCACTCTTTCTATTGTGAAACTTTCTGAAGGCCATTAGTCACTCAGTATGTTTCTCTGAAAAAAAAAAAAATCTGTAATATGATTTTTATGTCATTAAAAAGCATTTTTACACAATTAAGTTATTCTATTGAAATCAGCCAGGTTCATTTATATCACATGTCCTAACAAGTCTAGAGAAAAGTAACATAGTTCCACTAAAATAGAAACTATTGTGTGACAAAACACAATCACTGCTGATCAGAACATTATGTTTGGTATGTGGAGCTTTAAACTAATGGGATTTTTCACTGTGGGCGGAGCTACTTGTTAATTGGAACAAAAACTTGAAAAATAAATTTTCTTACGAGTTTATCACGTCACGCCTGGTTAGAACAAGGTGTGCAGTTTAAGAGATATAAAACAACTTTTAAGTGAGTTTAAGTGGGTTTATAGAATATGCATGTTAGGACTGAATAGTGCTGGGCGGTATGACCGTTCAGTGTGATACTAATACATTTTGCTGTAAATACTATGGAAAATACATGTATGCTGTTATTAGTGTGTAGTTATTTACAAGTTAGAATGGCGAAGACATGTAAAAATGTGAAAAAAACATGAATACAGAATTCAATAATGTGTGATCATGTACATGTATATTTTTGAGTCAGTACTATCTGTTTTATAATCTCAGTTTGACTGTTTTGTTTCTTGTTTTTTACTCAAATGTAAAATAGTGTAGCTGTTTTTGCATTTATGACAGACATAATTTGTTCTGAATTCTGGATCCACCAAGTTCTAAATAAAAGGAGAAAATAAGAACCGTTCATTTACAAAATATTTAATTCACTGGATTATCAAAAGGCCTGATTCTGTTACCATGATATAAATTACTCCTAGGAAAGTTTTTCCTTTAAGTACTTAAAGGGATAATTCACCCAAAAATTACATTTCTGTCATCATTTACATTCCTCATGTCCCTGTATGACTTTCTTTTCTACACAAAAGAAGATATTTTTAAAGAATGTTTGTAACTAAACAGTTTTGGTCACCATTGACTTCCATTGAATGGAAAACACACACACACGCACACACACACACACACACACACACACACGCACACACACACACTCTCTCTCTGAGATATATCTTCTTTATGTTTCACAGAAGAAATTAAGTCATACAGGTTTAGAACACATGAAGGTGAGTAAATGATGAATTTTAATTTTTGGCTGAACTATCCCTTTAAGGATGCACATAACAAGGTGAAACCAAACCACTGAAGGATCTGAGAAGCTAGAGTAAGTTTAAGATTTGTCAGGTTGGATTTACGCCAGGAATTTCTTCCTCCAACCCAAACCAGCCCTGCAGACTGTCAGCAGCATTCCTCCATGTGAAGACTCGAAAGTGGTGAATGGACATGTTGAATAGGAAAAAATGTATCTTAAAGGGACAGTTCACCTAAAAATTTAAATGACCCCATGATTTACTCACCCTCAAGCCATTCGAGGTGTATATGACTTTCTTCTTTCAGACAAATATGATCTGAGTTATAGTTAAAAATGTCATGGCTCTTCAAAGCTTTATAATAGCAGTGAATGGGTGGTATTATTCAATAGTCCAATAAACTACATCCATCCATCATAAAAAGTTCCCCACATGACTCAGGGGGGCTAATAATGGCCTCCTGAAGCGAATCAATGCGTTTTTGTAAGAAAAATATCCATATTTAAACCTTTATAAACAGTAATCTATAGCTTCCTCTAACTGTCGTATGCACGTTCACAATAGAACGCAGTTCCAGCAGATGACGTAGGATTTTGGTGTAGTTTAAGCTTCGGTGAGAGGTGACAAACGTGGAAGCACAGAGGAGAGAACAAAACAAAACACCAGTCACAAATTAGAAGTACAAAACGAGGATTTGTTAAGAAAAATGTTGGAGGATTTCAATATACAGTAAGCAAAGAGGAGACTGGTTTTCCTTTGCTAAGCAAAGGAAACCTTGGTTCACATGAGACTAGCATACCTGACCTTACACTACGCCTACGTCCTATGTCATCCGCTGGAACGCACTCTCTCCAGTACCAGTTAGCTGAAGCTAGAGGTCACGGTTTATAAAGTTTTAAATATGAATATTTTTCTTACAAAAATGCATCAATTCGCTTCAGGAGGCCTTTATTCACGCCCCAGAGCTATGTGGGACACTTTTTATGATGGATGGATGCACTTTATTGGACTTCTTTTGGACTATTGAAAAATAACACCCATTCACTGCCATTATAAAGCTTGGAAGTGCCAGGACATTTTTTAATATCACTCTGACTGGATTCGTCTGGAAGAAGAAAGTCATATACACCTAGGACGCCTTGAAGGTGAGTAAATCATGGGGTAGTTTTCATTTTTGGGTGAACTATCGCTTTAACTGAGCGGAAAGCTCATGCGCATTCATGTTTCCTTTCAAATTTCAGGCTGAAAGGCCTTTCTTGACAGTTTAAATGGGTTTTGATCTGGTTTCCCCACTCCATCTACATGACAGAGTATGAGTCAGCAACAAATGACGGCCGGCAATAAGTGTATCTGATGACACACCACACACATGAACACACCTGCTCCCCTGTCAATATATAACAGCCCACAGCATTACACAACTTGTGGGCACAGGTACATACAGGCATGTACAGTACATTCACAGACTATAAACATCAACGCACACCTATACACACATTCCCAGAGCACTGGAAGAACATTCCAGATCATAAACAAGGTGTGTAGGAAGATCATTAGACGGCTCAAAGTGTATCCCCCCCACCCCCTCCCCTCTTGCACAAAACTAATTCTGAATGAGAATCGGTGCTATTCTATTATAAATTGTGGTTTTCTCCCAAAGGTAGCGACTTGCTTACAGCAAGTTTTGCAACTCAAATCCTTTCTCTGAGAACTACAGCATAAGTATGACTTATTAAAACTGGTCTACAAAATTTGCTGCTATTAAATTTCACAAACAATTACAAAGCAATGGCAAGTAACACACTGAATTAAACATAACAATTGAATAGAAAGACTGAAATATTGCTTTCTTGTAAAACAAACTGTAATAATCTTCAAAAAAATATTTTTTACAGTGTACTGCAAGACAGAAATCTCCTGTTTCACACACAAGTATATGTCCAGTTTCAAAGCTAAACCCTAGGAATACACCGATAATTTCATTACTATCTCAACACTGAGTTTTGGCTCTGTTTTATTTTAACATAGACAACCAGTAGACTCTCTGTGTCAATTAAGATGATCTGGTCTTATCACGTAAACACAACAATCTTAACTGGACCGCTGTATAAATACTGCCACACAAAGTGTTTACTCAATCGCCACATACACCTACCTCACTGAAAAGTAAATCAAGGGTGGGAGATAAACAAACTAGGGGATAAGGATATATACCGCCAGCCTAAGCAAAATGTATTTGAGCAAAAATTCGTTACAGTTCACTAATGAGGCAGCGAGATGCGGAGCACAGGCCTGATTAGTCAAGAGGATGAGGGATAATGTGAAGGCAGAGCAGAGG